TATGTAATATCAATCCTCCTATAGGACAATGAATACTGGACAATTTCCTTACAGATGAAGAGGAGACATGAAGCAAGAGAAACAAAGAAAAGAGTGCTGAACTGCTATGTAATATCAATCCTCCTATATGGCAGTGAATGCTGGACAATTTCCTCACAGATAAACAGATCTGAAGCAAGAGAAACAAAGAAAAGAGTGCTGAACTGCTATGTAATATCAATCCTCCTATATGGCAGTGAATTCTGGACAATTTCCTCACAGATGAAGAGGAGACTTGAAGCAAGAGAAACAAAGAAAAGAGTGCTGAACTGCTATGTAATATCAATCCTCCTATATGGCAGTGAATGCTGGACAATTTCCTCACAGATGAAGAGGAGACTTGAAGCAAGAGAAACAAAGAAAAGAGTGCTGAACTGCTATGTAATATCAATCCTCCTATATGGCAGTGAATGCTGGACAATTTCCTCACAGATGAAGAGGAGACTTGAAGCAAGAGAAACAAAGAAAAGAGTGCTGAACTGCTATGTAATATCAATCCTCCTATATGGCAGTGAATGCTGGACAATTTCCCTCACAGATGAAGAGAAGACTTGAAGCAAGAGAAACAAAGAAAAAAAGAGTGCTGAACTGCTATGTAATATCAATCCTCCTATATGGCAGTGAATGCTGGACAATTTCCTCACAGATGAAGAGAAGACTTGAAGCAAGAGAAACAAAGAAAAGAGTGCTGAACTGCTATGTAATATCAATCCTCCTATATGGCAGTGAATGCTGGACAATTTCCTCACAGATGAAGAGGAGACTTGAAGCAAGAGAAACAAAGAAAAAGAGTGAACTGAACTGCTATGATAATATCAATGTAATATCCTCCTATATGGCAGTGAATGCTGGACAATTTCCTCACAGATGAAGAGGAGACTTGAAGCAAGAGAAACAAAGAAAAGAGTGCTGAACTGCTATGTAATATCAATCCTCCTATATGGCAGTGAATGCTGGACAATTTCCTCACAGATGAAGAGAAGACTTGAAAAAGAGAAACAAAGAAAAGAGTGCTGAACTGCTATGTAATATCAATCCTCCTATATGGCAGTGAATGCTGGACAATTCCTCACAGATGAAGAGGAGACTTGAAGCAAGAGAAACAAAGAAAAGAGTGCTGAACTGCTATGTAATATCAATCCTCCTATATGGCAGTGAATGCTGGACAATTTCCTCACAGATGAAGAGGAGACTTGAAGCAAGAGAAACAAAGAAAAGAGTGCTGAACTGCTATGTAATATCAATCCTCCTATATGGCAGTGAATGCTGGACAATTCCCTCACAGATGAAGAGAAGACTTGAAGCAAGAGAAACAAAGAAAAGAGTGCTGAACTGCTATGTAATATCAATCCTCCTATATGGCAGTGAATGCTGGACAATTTCCTCACAGATGAAGAGGAGACTTGAAGCAAGAGAAACAAAGAAAAGAGTGCTGAACTGCTATGTAATATCAATCCTCCTATATGGCAGTGAATGCTGGACAATTTCCTCACAGATGAAGAGGAGACTTGAAGCAAGAGAAACAAAGAAAAAGAGTGCTGAACTGCTATGTAATATCAATCCTCCTATATGGCAGTGAATGCTGGACAATTTCCTCACAGATGAAGAGGAGACTTGAAGAAGAGAAACAAAGAAAAGAGTGCTGAACTGCTATGTAATATCAATCCTCCTATATGGCAGTGAATGCTGGACAATTTCTCACAGATGAAGAGGAGACTTGAAGCAAGAGAAACAAAGAAAAAGAGTGCTGAACTGCTATGTAATATCAATCCTCTTATATGGCAGTGAATGCTGGACAATTTCCTCACAGATGAAGAGGAGACTTGAAGCAAGAGAAACAAAGAAAAAGAGTGCTGAACTGCTATGTAATATCAATCCTCCTATATGGCAGTGAATGCTGGACAATTTCCTCACAGATGAAGAGGAGACTTGAAGCAAGAGAAACAAAGAAAAGAGTACTGAACTGCTATGTAATATCAATCCTCCTATATGGCAGTGAATGCTGGACAATTTCCTCACAGATGAAGAGGAGACTTGAAGCAAGAGAAACAAAGAAAAGAGTGCTGAACTGCTATGTAATATCAATCCTCCTATATGGCAGTGAATGCTGGACAATTTCCTCACAGATGAAGAGAAGACTTGAAGCAAGAGAAACAAAGAAAAGTGTGCTGAACTGCTATGTAATATCAATCCTCCTATATGGCAGTGAATGCTGGACAATTTCCTCACAGATGAAGAGGAGACTTGAAGCAAGAGAAACAAAGAAAAGAGTGCTGAACTGCTATGTAATATCAATCCTCCTATATGGCAGTGAATGCTGGACAATTTCCTCACAGATGAAGAGAAGACTTGAAGCAAGAGAAACAAAGAAAAGAGTGCTGAACTGCTATGTAATATCAATCCTCCTATATGGCAGTGAATGCTGGACAATTTCCTCACAGATGAAGAGGAGACTTGAAGCAAGAGAAACAAAGAAAAGAGTGCTGAACTGCTATGTAATATCAATCCTCCTATATGGCAGTGAATGCTGGACAATTTCCTCACAGATGAAGAGGAGACTTGAAACAAGAGAAACAAAGAAAAGAGTGTGGAACTGCTATGTAATATCAATCCTCCTATATGGCAGTGAATGCTGGACAATTTCCTCACAGATGAAGAGGAGACTTGAAGCAAGAGAAACAAAGAAAAGAGTGCTGAACTGCTATGTAATATCAATCCTCCTATATGGCAGTGAATGCTGGACAATTTCCTCACAGATGAAGAGGAGACTTGAAGCAAGAGAAACAAAGAAAAGAGTGCTGAACTGCTATGTAATATCAATCCTCCTATATGGCAGTGAATGCTGGACAATTCCTCACAGATGAAGAGAAGACTTGAAGCAAGAGAAACAAAGAAAAGAGTGCTGAACTGCTATGTAATATCAATCCTCCTATATGGCAGTGAATGCTGGACAATTTCCTCACAGATGAAGAGGAGACTTGAAGCAAGAGAAACAAAGAAAAGAGTGCTGAACTGCTATGTAATATCAATCCTCCTATATGGCAGTGAATGCTGGACAATTTCCTCACAGATGAAGAGAGACTTGAAGCAAGAGAAACAAAGAAAAGAGTGCTGAACTGCTATGTAATATCAATCCTCCTATATGGCAGTGAATGCTGGACAATTTCCTCACAGATGAAGAGGAGACTTGAAGCAAGAGAAACAAAGAAAAGAGTGCTGAACTGCTATGTAATATCAATCCTCCTATATGGCAGTGAATGCTGGACAATTTCCTCACAGATGAAGAGAAGACTTGAAGCAAGAGAAACAAAGAAAAGAGTGCTGAACTGCTATGTAATATCAATCCTCTTATATGGCAGTGAATGCTGGACAATTTCCTCACAGATGAAGAGAAGACTTGAAGCAAGAGAAACAAAGAAAAGAGTGCTGAACTGCTATGTAATATCAATCCTCCTATATGGCAGTGAATGCTGGACAATTTCCTCACAGATGAAGAGGAGACTTGAAGCAAGAGAAACAAAGAATAGAGTGCTGAACTGCTATGTAATATCATTCCTCCTATATGGCAGTGAATGCTGAACAATTTCCTCACAGATGAAGAGGAGACTTGAAGTAAGAGAAACAAAGAAAAGAGTGCTGAACTGCTATGTAATATCAATCCTCCTATATGGCAGTGAATGCTGGACAATTTCCTCACAGATGAAGAGGAGACTTGAAGCAAGAGAAACAAAGAAAAGAGTGCTGAACTGCTATGTAATATCAATCCTCCTATATGGCAGTGAATGCTGGACAATTCCTCACAGATGAAGAGGAGACTTGAAGCAAGAGAAACAAAAGAAAAGAGTGCTGAACTGCTATGTAATATCATTCCTCCTAGCATGGCAGTGAATGGACAATTTCCTCACAGATGAAGAGAAGACTTGAAGCAAGAGAAACAAAGAAAAGAGTGCTGAACTGCTATGTAATATCAATCCTCCTATATGGCAGTGAATGCTGGACAATTTCCTCACAGATGAAGAGAGACTTGAAGCAAGAGAAACAAAGAAAGAGTGCTGAACTGCTATGTAATATCAATCCTCCCTATATGGCAGTGAATGCTGGACAATTTCCTCACAGATGAAGAGGAGACTTGAAGCAAGAGAAACAAAGAAAAGAGTGCTGAACTGCTATGTAATATCATTCCTCCTATATGGCAGTGAATGCTGAACAATTTCCTCACAGATGAAGAGGAGACTTGAAGTAAGAGAAACAAAGAAAAGAGTGCTGAACTGCTATGTAATATCAATCCTCCTATATGGCAGTGAATGCTGGACAATTTCCTCACAGATGAAGAGGAGACTTGAAGTAAGAGAAACAAAGAAAAAGAGTGCTGAACTGCTATGTAATATCAATCCTCCTATATGGCAGTGAATGCTGGACAATTTCCCTCACAGATGAAGAGAAGACTTGAAGTAAGAGAAACAAAAGAAAAGAGTGCTACTGAACTGCTATGTAATATCAATCCTCCTATATGGCAGTGAATGCTGGACAATTTCCTCACAGATGAAGAGGAGACTTGAAGCAAGAGAAACAAAGAAAAGAGTGCTGAACTGCTATGTAATATCATTCCTCCTATATGGCAGTGAATGCTGAACAATTTCCTCACAGATGAAGAGGAGACTTGAAGTAAGAGAAACAAAGAAAAGAGTGCTGAACTGCTATGTAATATCATTCCTCCTATATGGCAGTGAATGCTGGACAATTTCCTCACAGATGAAGAGAAGACTTGAAGCAAGAGAAACAAAGAAAAGAGTGCTGAACTGCTATGTAATATCAATCCTCTATATGGCAGTGAATACTGAACAATTTCTTCACAGATGAAGAGGAGAGTTGAAGCAAGAGAAACAAAGAAAAGAGTGCTGAACTGCTATGTAATATCAATCCTCCTATATGGCAGTGAATGCTGGACAATTTCCTCACAGATGAAGAGGAGACTTGAAGTAAGAGAAACAAAGAAAAGAGTGCTGAACTGCTATGTAATATCAATCCTCCTATATGGCAGTGAATGCTGAACAATTTCTCACAGATGAAGAGGAGACTTGAAGCAAGAGAAACAAAGAAAAGAGTGTTGAATGCTATGTAATATCAATCCTCCTATATGGCAGTGAATGCTGGACAATTCACAGATGAAGAGAAGACTTGAAGCAAGAGAAACAAAGAAAGAGAACTGCTGAACTGCTATATGGCAGTGAATCCTCCAGATATGGCAGTGAATGCTGACAATTTCCTCACAGATGAAGAGATGAAGAGAAGATGAAGCAAGAGAAACAAAAGAAAAGAGTGCTGAACTGCTATGTAATATCAATCCTCCTATATGGCAGTGAATGCTGGACAATTTCCTCACAGATGAAGAGAAGACTTGAAGCAAGAGAAACAAAGAAAAGAGTGCTGAACTGCTATGTAATATCAATCCTCCTATATGGCTGTGAATGCTGGACAATTCTCACAGATGAAGAGGAAGACTTGAAGCAAGAGAAAACAAAGAAAAGAGTGCTGAACTGCTATGTAATATCAATCCTCCTATATGGCAGTGAATGCTGGACAATTTCCTCACAGATGAAGAGGAGACTTGAAGCAAGAGAAACAAAGAAAAGACTGCTGAACTGCTATGTAATATCAATCCTCCTATATGGCAGTGAATGCTGGACAATTTCCTCACAGATGAAGAGGAGACTTGAAGCAAGAGAAACAAAGAAAAGACTGCTGAACTGCTATGTAATATCAATCCTCCTATATGGCAGTGAATGCTGGACAATTCCTCACAGTTGAAGAGAAGACTTGAAACAAGAAAACAAAGAAAAGAGTGCTGAACTGCTATGTAATATCAATCCTCTTATATGGCAGTGAATGCTGGACAATTTCCTCACAGAAGAGAAGACTTGAAACAAGAAAACAAAGAAAAGAGTGAACTGCTGTGTAATATCAATCCTCTTATATGGCAGTGAATGCTGACAATTTCCTCACAGATGAAGAGGAGACTTGAAACAAGAAAACAAAAACAAAAGAGTGCTGAACTGCTAATATCAATCCTCCTATATGGCAGTGAATGCTGGACAATTTCCTCACAGATGAAGAGAAGACTTGAAGCAAGAGAAACAAAGAAAAGAGTGCTGAACTGCTATGTAATATCAATCCTCCTATATGGCAGTGAATGCTGGACAATTTCCTCACAGATGAAGAGAAGACTTGAAGCAAGAGAAACAAAGAAAAGACTGCTGAACTGCTATGTAATATCAATCCTCTTATATGGCAGTGAATGCTGGACAATTTCCTCACAGTTGAAGAGAAGACTTGAAGCAAGAGAAACAAAGAAAAGAGTGCTGAACTGCTATGTAATATCAATCCTCCTATATGGCTGTGAATGCTGGACAATTTCCTCACAGATAAAGAGGATACTTGAAGCAAGAGAAACAAAGAAAAGAGTGCTGAACTGCTATGTAATATCAATCCTCCTATATGGCAGTGAATGCTGGACAATTTCCTCACAGATGAAGAGACTTGAAGCAAGAGAAACAAAGAAAAGAATGCTGAACTGTTATGTAATATCAATTATCCTATCTCTTCTTTTTCTACCGTTTCCTTTCCTGTGTATTGGTCAACGATCAAAAGTAAGCTCTTTTAACAGAACGTTGAAAATTTCAGTTTCTTATCTATCTATCTATCTATCTATCTATCTATCTATCTATCTATCTATCTATCTATCTCAGTCATTATTTCTATCAATCTGTCACTTTCTTTGTTTCTTTCTTTCTTTCTATCTATCTATCTATATATATATATATATATGTCTCAGTATTTCTACTTATCTATCTATCTATCTATCTATCTATCTATCTATCTATCTATCTATCACTTCATATGTTTCAATGTAATTTAATGTCAAATAATCGAAAGTGATTAAATGTATTTATTGAATATTTCTTGTATAATGTAATTATAACAACTTTCAAAATTTAAGTTTCAGTTTCATATCTATCTAAATGTGTTCTTATCTATCTGACTCTGCTCATATCTATCTATCTATCTATCTATCTATCTATCTATCTATCTATCCCATTCTGTTCATATCTATCTATCTATCTATCTATCTATCTATCTATCTATCTCACTCTGCTCATATCTATCTATCTATCTCACTCTGCTCATATCTATCTATTTATCTATCTAGCTATCTATCTCACTCTGCTCATATCTATCTATCTATCTATCTATCTATCTATCTATCTATCTAACTCTGCTCATATCTATCTATCTATCTATCTATCTATCTCTGCTCATATCTATCTATCTATTTATCTATCTAGCTATCTATCTCACTCTGCTCATATCTATCTATCTCTCTATCTCTCTATCTATCTATCTATCTCACTCTGCTCATATCTATCTATCTATCTATCTATCTATCTATCTAGTTTTAAATACGATTGTTCTTTCTGGTGTTCTTTGATTCGTTTTCGATTTTCCCATTCCGACTTTATGAACGATAACTTGATTTGTCGAAACTATTAACGCAAAATTACCGTCTCTGAATTTTCGTATGTAATCAATCGGTTTCTTTCTCTTCAATTGTTAAAATGGAACTGTTTCCTGCAGGAATTGTTCCGAACATGAGACAGAAAATGTGTAGATTCGTTTTTTTTTTTCATATACTGCAAATAATTTCTCGCTTTTTCTCAAGTGACCGAGGTCCCGTCTGTTGCAAATGACACGGTCAAAAGCGAGTTAACTATTCTTACTCAAAACGTCATAAAAAAAAGAAAACAGTCAGTCAGAAATGACACTAAAGGTAGAAACGTTTCAGTTTGCGATGTCCATTCGCATCGGATTCCAAGACTTGAGAAGAACGGAGGGAGACTTTTGGCCTTGTCAACGGTGAAATTGAAGACATTGAAAATACGCTCCATTATTTATTGTTTAAGAAGTGATGTTTATTTATCACAAAGTCAAGCTTGTTATTTCTCCCTATCGAAGTGTCCGATGATTTTCTAAGCGGAGCTTAGATGTGGCACAAGTCCAAAATTACGGAGCACCCACAAAAAATTACGTACGATTAATAGATTAACAATATTTTATTGCCAGAGAAAAACCTAAATAAAAAGGCGAAGGGTCAAAGGAAAGAACGTTTGTAGATATGTCCTTACTTTCGTGTTTGTCAAGTTCAAATTAAAATGTTGAGTGATTTATATTTTGAGGAGAGTTTTTTCTTGCGTTATAAAATTATTATATATGCGTCCTTATATAGTTCAGTTGATCGTTTTAGTTTAGCGGCACATCAACACCAATATGGGTTCTTTATTGCTGAAATCCTAATATTGTGAACGCAGATATTGTGTACATAATTTCAAACTTTCAGAACAAACGTATTTTTTATACATACATACATACATACATATATATATATATATATATATATATAATATATATATATATATTTGAATAAAAACAGACCACTTTAAGGTTCCATGTAATAAATTATTTCACCAAGGCCCCTTTAAAGGGCTCTGGATCATCAGACTTTACTTCCAAAGGTTGAAATGAAAATGAAAAGAAATTTACACATTTTTGACGGGCCGTATTAAGCATATGTAAATTAACGAAGTGAGGAAGTGAGGGGGGAGAGAAGACATGAGTGAGTTAGATGTACCATTTCAATTCTTTATCCCTAACCCCACTTGGTGTGGGCCAGACATCGCTTAACTTAACGTATGTTATCTTTAGATATGGATGGGTAAGGGGTGAAGAGCAAAACCGACATAAAAGGAAGACGATACAATAAAAATTTACATATGCTTAATACGGCCCGTATTTTAATTTCGCGCATGCGCGTTGTTTGTTTTTGATTTTATGCAGAGTATAGTAGGGTCAGTTGGGCACCGTCTCTGAGAAAAAGATCACCATGACGCAATTCACTCCGCCAGAAATTTGGAAACAGCATGCTGTACTGCTTGGCATTCGCGCCGGCAGCTTCTATACGAACACTTCAGAGTATTTGGGCGTCAATCTAAAGACAGTGCGCAGGATTCAGAAAGAGTTAGATGAGTCTAATGGTGATTACGAAGATACGGCAGCTCGGAAAACCCACTTTGATCGTTTTGATAAGAACTCCCGAATTTGTTGGTGAGGGCCTCAGACTCAACACGGAGGCCTACATCAAGTGCTTTGAGGAGCTAGTGATGCCCTGGGCCAAGAAGGTGGTTGCTGGAAGACCCTATGTCTGGCAACAGGAGCCTGCACCATGCCACACAAACAGGAGAACCCAGTCATGGCTGTGAGACAATTTCTGCGTTCACATCACCCCTTACATCTGACCACGCACGTAACTCCCCAGATTGCAACTACCTATGGTTATTATGTGTGGATAACAGCTGAGAGAGCGACCAGCAAAACTAAAGATGAACTGAAGGCAAGGATTATGGCAGCATTCACCAACTTAAAAAAGGTGACCATCCTGAAGAGTTGCAGGAAATTCCTAAGTTGTCTGGAGACCCTGGTTGAGGCCAATGGCGATTTTATTGAATAAATTTACTCTTTAGTATTTCAAAATATTTTTGTGTAATTTTGGTAAATGTTATGGGGTCCTCCCCTTTTCATATAAGTGGACTCTACCAGTGTTGCTTGGACGGCTGTCGTTAAATACCCAGAGTCAGGGAGAGAGGATATACGGAGAGAGAGAGAGAATATACGAACGGAGACAGAGTGAGGTAACCTCTTGTAGAAGTCAGTTACAAGCACGTAGACTCTAAGGAAGTCCTACTTCGAGACTGTATATATCTATCTGTATTTGCTACTAACCGCGTTCCTGGACTTACTAACAGTATTACTCTTTGTATGATTGTGTAAATACATTTTATTTCTTATATTTAATTAATGCGTTTGTCATTCCTTGGAGACCGAATTCATCTCGGAATCCACAACAGTAAATGTATCTGTTAAAATGAGATATCGGTGTTATTTTCAATTTTGCGTAATTTAGACGACGATTTATCCATCGCACACTGCATTTATGACGATATTGAGAAAGGCTCTTTTTTTGTTGCTTTGTGGAATTATTAGAAATGACTGTGTATCGTCCAGTAAGGTTCGGGTATTGTATGCATTCTACCCTTCTGTATTGTGTTCATTGCGACACGTGGTTCACTGGGGACAGAAAAGACCAATTCCTTAAGGAAAAAAACGATGCAATTTCTATCTCTAAGGCAACCTGGAGCTAAAAGAGAACAATGAAAATGCGCACTTTTCCTTTCTTTTTTTAAATACTATTATTCCCCAAATATAAGGCTCAAGAGCAACTTAAGGTAGAGCTTTGGCGTGTGAAGTTGTTGCAAACGCGGAAAAATAGGACGTAGAAAGTGCAGATTTTGGGGATAATTGGTAGTGACTAAGGAAATATATTTTCAGGAGTCTCTTCTAGAAAGTTGCAGTTCTGGGGAAAAGAAGCTGGAAGAGTAGAACTTCCTCATTACCAATGGAATACGAGAGGAATTAGGATGAATTGACCCCATGTTCATGCCATGTTGGGCCCTAGCTGTCAAGGTCCGGCTCGTCTGAACATCTAATAAAATAGAGACAAGAAAACGAGAAGATAGCAACGTTTTTCTCTATGGAAAAGGATTGTAGGTTTTATTTTTTAAAAATAACATTCACCCAATACAAGGCTCAAGAGCCAATCAAAGTAGAAGGTTACTGTGTGATGTTGTATGAGCGTAAGAAAGGACAAGAAGAGAAGGGTCTATGCAAGAAAAAAAATGACTAACTCCAGACTTAAAGAGTTCAAGATTGTTGGGATAAGGAAACCATAAGTTAAGGAACAGATTTTAGAAGGAACCGGGCACGCAATCGTAAACAGGCGAATCCCACAGCCCATCAGGGTTGTAAGAGCACCATATGTGGTGTTTCTTGGGCAAGATAGCCTGATGGAGCCTAACGGTCTCCAGTCTGGTTTTGAATTCACAGTTTCCTTCTGCTCGACCGATTGCCATAGAAGCCAGTCTGTACTGCTATTTACTCACAGAAGAGGATTCATACTGTTATAGGACCTTACCCATAATAACATAATGGACTATTCCATACGTAATAAATACTGCGCCTCAAGAGGAAGCAGGGAGTTCAGCCTGAATTCGGACGACCGGCTGATCGGCTGTTCGGTTGAACTCTCTGCCTTCGGGCGGGGAGGAACCAGAACGAGGCTACGCCGAAGGGCGGAGTCTCTTTCGGGGAGGTAAACCGACCCTGAACCCGTTTATACGCGTTTAAAGGGCATATTTTTGGCCGATCCCACATGATGCCCTCGTGGTGACTAAATACTGTTCAGTCTGAAGTCTGGAGTGAGGTCCGTCAGAAGTCTGTCAGTCAGTCAGAGCGAGCGAGTCAGTCAGTCGAGTCATAGGCAGAGTCGCGTTCAGACAATTACTACAAGACATTGGAATAGTGATACTGGTCGAGACTACATTGTTCTCCCTACTAAACCTGATTGTTCGTACTAACACTTTTCTACTTCTCTGTATATATTCCTGTTTGTAATATATCTGTGTTATTCCATATCCATGTTCGAGTTCTTCTTTATTGGTTCTACCTTGGACTATCACCGTAGTACAAGGAACCGGACCATAACATACCTTTCCCAAGGGTATTAGCATGTAAGTATTAGAATGGATCCGACTTTCTGAATCCAAGCCGCTATCCATTACTCCACCGTGCCTTTTGTTTAAAAGACAGGAAAGGAGTGTGAACCGGGTTTAGAGGTATAAAAATGAAATAGATTCTAGACGGGAAAATAATAATTCTAAAATTTTCAGAGGTCAAGAAGAGACATTAGAGGTGCAAAGTTGAAGTAGATTTTAGGTGTGAAAATAATTAATCACCCAAAAGGCAGCGTAAACTGTCCGGAAACTCTTATCAAGGCTAGAAAGTGAGGATTGTGTAACTCCAGCCCACATATGGTAGCAATTCTCTATTTTATATATTGATTTTTCAGAAAGCTTGATAGGGGAATCCAGAAGCCCGAAGGACGAATGAAAGATGCTTTCTAGAAGCTAAGCAATATATTAAAGACAGAAATTTCGTTAGAAACAACTAAAAGAATGCTGAACTGCTATGTAATATCTAGTCTCCTATATAACACTGAATAATAGATAATTCCTTCAGAGATGTAGAAGAGACCTGAAAAGGCAAAGAATTGTTTCTGATGACAAATGCTAGGCATGTCAAGGACATGGCATGCTAGGAACAAGAACGTTTTAAAGAAAATAGGAACGAGAAAGAAATTTCCATTCGAAAAGTTGAAATTGTAGCGGAACATTATGAGATATTTAGCTGTCGTTAGCAGACGTTCTTTGAGAGACAAGTGGGGTAATCATACAAACGTATCACTTCCGAAAGAAACTTACCAGGTTTATTCCGGTTGTATGGCATAGTTTTGCAATGGTTATATCTCTTGGGATATGCAAGGCTTCATACCTTTCCACAATCTTGTTATGCACAGTAGCCAGAATCTGTAAATAAAGTGAAAAGGACCGTGTAGGTTTGAGTGTTGTTATATTAGAAACACGTGCTGTTTATTCCTGCTAGAAAGTCCACTAACAGAACATGGCGGATTTAGGAATTTGAATCCACCATAAAGAAAGGTAAAGAAAACAAACAGGACCGATATATATATATATATATATATATATATATATATATATATATATATATATATATATATATATAATATTAGTGGTAATTATACACATGCATATGCAAAATATATAAATATATACATATACATACATGCATACACATACATATATATTTTTTGTAAAAAATTCCAAGAGGATAGAATCCAGGTAGAACTCAATGTCCAGGACAGAGTAAGGACATAATAAAGAAAAGACTAATATTCTATGGTCATAATTTATTCCATTGGAATCGTAAATACGATCCAATTCATCAGAGCTGATGAATTGGATCGTATTTACGATTCAATAAAATAAATTAAACCATGGAATATTAGTTTATATATATATATATATATATATATATATATATATAATATATATAAAATATATAAAAATATATATATATATATATATATATATATATATATATATATATATGTATATTATTATTTATATATTATATGCGCGGTACTTATTATTTTGTCTGTATGAGCTCCGGCGGACGACCGAGTGTGTATATGTGTCTGCGTACTTCAACGGGTGTACGGACATGCATTTATGTTTGCGTTAGCATGAGTGACATCTCGACGACGATTCCCCCACCCCTCTTCCATAATAACACTAATACATACAATCTACATAAATCCAAAATTTTAAAAAATTAATCAGTTTGTCTGACGATCGCAAAAGCGTGAAACCCAGGGTCACAAACGCAAATCAATTCCAACCAAATACAAACAAATATATGTACCAAACAACAAATTTACCAGCGACAAAGACATCAACATTTCTGTTTGTGCGTGAACGTAAAGAGTTTGTATTTTGGTGAATGTCCGTACGTACGTGTGTGTGCGTGTGTGTGTATAATGTCCATGGCGTCTTCCACAAATGGGAAGACGCTTATCTTTTGCGAGAGATTACATTGTAGTCGCTGAAATGCAAAGTAAAAAGGTTATTTCTGTGATATAACAGAAAATGTGGCACAAGGCCGAAGTAGGGAATGGAGAAGTGGTCGGTTTTCTGTCTTAACTTCTAAACTTAGCTAGCCACAAACGCAGACCCAATCATACTAACAATATTTCTTGCACCAAAACAACACATTCTTACTTACCTTTCTCACCACACTCACCATAATACCTCAATGACTCGATAAAAATACTAACTAGACCCCACATGTACAATTTGTGGTCTGTGGGGGGAGTGGAATAAAACAGCAATTTAAAATTTTAATGAAATGAAGGAAAAAGAGAACGAGGCGAGTAATCGCCCAGTATTTATAGTGTAGGGAAAGCGTGCCCTAGTGAAATATTTGGACAATTAAGGAGGAGGTAACTCCGAGAAAAGTAATATTTAGTGTGTGCAAAAGTTTCCAGTAGAATTTTTTTTCTTTTTGTAGTTTTCAAAAAAAAAAAAGAAGCGTTGTGAATTTTTGCCCCTGCCTGAAAAAATGAAAACTTTAAAAAATTCCTATATTTATGGTGTTTTTAAAAAGTAAAAAAAATTATCCACACACTACTAATGCTGATTTTCATGGCATGCATACTCTTCATTTAGATGTCTGATGCAATACGACCTTTTGCTTCAATTTGGTCACGTTAAGCCAAGTATACAGGAGGTCCTCAACTTACGACAGAGTTCCGTTTCTATGAAGCGTCGTAGCGCGAATTTCCACGTAAGTCGGGACGTTCACGTGATTTTGCGCGTATAAGCCCGTACGACACTAGGCGATGTTAACGGGATAGTAAAGTAATAATTTATGACATAGCAAGACATTTCTATGAAATATTTTAACTTAATAATCGTCATAACAGTCGGGCGACCCAAGCCAAGCAATCGACCTGTGTTTGTCGCTGTTTCAGAGCATTTACCAATGTCTAATTTCGCATCCATGATGATGGTTTTGCCTTTTCTTCAATTTACTGCCATCAGAAGAGGTTATACTACGCTTTGAAGCCATTATGAAGGGCAATAAGTTTCCACAAACACAACACAAACGAAAAATGATTACTGGAGATTGCATTGTAACCACGGATCGTCGTATGTCGGGATTGTCACGACCTGCAGACGTACTGTGTATAATAATATTAAACAGAGTTTAACAAGAAAATTTCCTTATAAAGAGACTGAGATAGATAGATAGATAGATAGATAGATAGATAGATAGATAGATAGGAAAAAGAGATTGAGATAGAATGTGAGATAGTCAGAAAGAAACTAAAATAGATAGAAATAAAGAGACTAAGATAGGTAGATAGAAAAAAGAGACTTGAGAAAGATAGATAGATAGATAGATAGATAGATAGAAAAAGACAGATGGGCTGATAGATAGAAAGAAAGAAAGACACTGAGATAGCTAGATGCTAGATAGAGACTGAAATGGATTGATAAATATGAAGAGAAAGATAGATAGATATGAATAGATAGAAAGATAATGATATAGATAGATACATACATAGAAATTGACTCAGAAATAAAGAAAGATAAGACTTAGAAAGATAGATAGATAGAAAGAAAGAAATTGAGATAGTTATGAAGTGAAATATAGACAGGTAAATAGATATGAATAGATATAAAGACATTGAGATAGATAGATAGATAGATAGATAGATAGATAACGAATAAATAATGTCGAATGATTGGTATTAATATTTCATATAACGTAGCTAATTGAACAGGTTTCAAAGATCTACGATACATGGTAATTTTGACCCCCCCCCCCCCAAAAAAAAAAAAAAAAACGCTTATAAAATCCAAGAATCCTCTCACCTTTTTCTTTACCGATTCTACGTGTTGCATCGAGTCAGAAAATGATTTCGGATCAAACTTCTCCTCGAGAATTTTGCAATCTAAAAAATAGAATCAAGTCTACGCATGAGTTTGGTTCGAAATTTTCTTTAAGCTCACTGCAAACTGGAATGCATTTTCGAACTTTTTAATCAACCCGATCACTTGACTACCCAATTTCAATCACAGGGCTTGAATCAACCCAGGATACTTTTTTTTTTTTAAGGTACGTCTCAATGATGCTACATGGAAAGTTAAATTTTCCAGACCGATAAAATCAAGAAGTAACCCTCTTAATCCAGAGGGAGTTTCTAAACCGGTTCTCATGTCCGGAAAACCAACGTTCTAACCACTCAGCCACATACCCATGCGTCCATCTTTAAAGATTTTTATGTCCTGAAAGAGTTCAAAAGCGACTACACGGCCTTGTGGGTGATGAATTATTTTCCATTCTGCAGCCCTTTTCTCACAGACGAAAGGTCGCAAGCCTCTAGCCACTCTATCGCTATTTCCAGGACAAGTATTCAGACGAAAATGCATTCCTTAGTTCCATATATAAGTATATAAGTCCCAGAAATTCATCGACAGTTGTTCTCAAGGACACATGGCACTGTGGATAAAGGCGTTAGTTAGATCCAGTGACAGGTGTGAGTTCAATACCCGGTTAAGGCAGTGTACATAATACATAGTGTACATAATATCTAATCTCAGAAATATAGACAGGTTCTTAAGGACTCATGGCACAGTGGATAAAGGCGTTGGTTAGATCTAATGGCCGGACTCAAAGAGTTATGAGTTCAATAAATGGTTAAGGCAGTGGAGAACTTAGAGCGGTGTATTGACATTAGATAACTGACATCCATTAAACATGGCACATGGAACTAGAACAGTCTACCCCAGCGAGCGAAATAAAGGGTTTAGTTCGATATTCCAACTACCTGAAGAAGGCCGGTGCGTACAACGGCCGAACTGTTGTGATAAATATGGCAAAGATGAGGACGAAATTCCGAACAGTGTAAATAATGTGCATTTTTGTAGTGCAATTTTCAGCAATATATTTTTGTATAAACAGATTACCAGAGATGCGTATGTATAGTAAAATCACCAACAGTACAAAATTACCTACAATCACAGAAGTTAGGTACCGTCGAACCTGGTCAGTAACAAGATGAGTGACCGCTTGAGAATACCTCTTTATCTGTAAGGAAATTGTCCAGCATTCACTGCCATATATGAGGATTAATATTACATAGCAGTTCAGCACTCTTTTCTTTGTTTCTCTTGCTTCAAGTCTACCCTTCATCTGTGAGGAAATTGTCCATCATTCACTGCCATATATGAGGATTAATATTACATAGCAGTTCAGCACTCTTTTCTTTGTTTCTTTTGCTTCAAGTCTCCTCTTCATCTGTGAGGAAATTGTCCAGCATTCACTGCCATATAGGAGGATTGATATTACATAGCAGTTCAGCACTCTTTTCTTTATTCGTAATGAAAATTACCTGTTTCTCCTTACTTTGCTTACCTTTTGGAAGGCATGTCTTGCTAATCCGATGCTCATTTGAATTTCGATGATGCCTTTTTCGATTTTGATTGTATAAAAATGGGAAAAATAATCCAGTATAATAACCCTCAGTATAATCATTATACACTGCGTCTTAGTGGCTTTACTGCTTTGGTTAGTTCGAAATGATCAAACATAAGACTTTTGTGAGTATAATTAGTATAATGTGTCAAGATTTTATATTTCCATCCCCATTGGGTCACGTGTTGCCATGACGTTGCCACATAAACAAAATTAAGTATTTAAAATTCTTACTCTTCGTTAGACTTCTGACTTTTTCCATAAGTTCGCATTTTTTCGTAAGCGTTTTCACTCTGCTCGACTCCAATGTGTTCGCTATAAGACATTCAAGCATTCGAATTTCCCCTTTCATTCGTTCCTGAAAATAAAATAAGGAGCAGCAGAAATAAAATTAATTCAGCAGAAAGGAGAAAATAGAAACTTTTTTCCAAAATTTCACAAATTTTCAAAGATTACAAAAGCAGACCTGAGTGGGTAGTAATAGCGATTCAGTAGGAACTGTGCAAATCACTTGCGTTTTGGCATGAAGCTGTCTTGAAAAGTACAGTGAATAAGATACAATATGATATCGACCTCCAGACCGCACATTCCAATAAATTTGAGAATATTATTATAAAATGAAATTAAAATTAGGAGCAAAACAGGCTATAAATTTGATTTTACGAGTGCCACCCTATTTAAAAAAAGAACATAATTCTTTACGTAGAAAGTACATCAAAGGCCTACTAATAAAAATATTACCAACCATAAACACACACCAACGTTTATTGCATTCATTCTTAAAGGATTTAACGTATGTTTATCTAAAACAAACGGTGTGTACGTAAAAACGGTCCAAGCTAAACATGCGGACACAAATGCACACACACACACACACACACACACACATACACGCACACCTACGAATATACATTATCATCTGAATCCAACAGGAACAAGCTAGAATTATTGTAAACTCACATGCATATACATCCTTGTGCAAATTAATTGAAAAAAAAAAAGAAAAAAAAAAAGAATAATTCCGTTATTATTTACTTTTTTCGTATTTTTTCAATGAAATATGACCCAGTGGACATTCCCCGAAGACGTTCCTTGCAGACTGGCCACAGATTATCGATTAAATTTAAATCGAAGCAGTTTCCGGGTAGGTATGTTCTTCTCAGCCTATCGATATCTATCTATCTGTCTGTCTATCTATCTATCTATCTATCTATCTATCTATCTATCTATCTATCTATCTATCTATCTATCTATCTCAGCCAGTTTCTATCTATCTATCTTGGTCTGTTCATATCTATCTATCTATCTATCTATCTATCTATCTATCTATCTTGGTCTGTTCATATCTATCTATCTACCTATCTATCTATCTATCTATCTATCTATCTATCTATCTATCTTATTCTGTTTATCTATCATATTCTGTTTATATCTATCTATCTATCTATCTATCTATCTTGGTCTGTTCATATCTATCTATCTATCTATCTATCTATCTTATTCTGTTTATCTATCATATTCTGTTTATATTCATTCTATCTATCTATCTATCTATCTATCTATCTATCTTGGTCTGTTCATATTCATCTATCTATCTATCTATCTATCTTATTCTGTTTATTCATCATATTCTGTTTATATCTATCTATCTATCTATCTCTATCTATCTATCTATCTATCTATCTCAGCCAGTTTCTATCTATCTATCTTGGTCTGTTCATATCTATCTATCTATCTATCTATCTATCTTGGTCTGTTCATATCTATCTATCTACCTATCTATCTATCTTATTCTGTTTATCTATCATATTCTGTTTATATCTATCTATCTATCTATCTATCTATCTATCTATCTATCTTGGTCTGTTCATATCTATCTATCTATCTATCTATCTATCTATCTTATTCTGTTTATCTATCATATTCTGTTTATATCTATCTATCTATCTATCTATCTATCTATCTATCTATCTATCTATCTATCTTGGTCTGTTCATCTATCATATTCTGTTTCTATCTATCTATCTATCTATCTATCTATCTATCTATCTATCTAATTCTGTTTATCTATCTATCTATCTATCTATCTATCTATCTATCTATCTATCTATCTATCAGACTCTTTTCCTACCTATTTATCTACGATGGGATTCACCAAAACTGAAAGAAGTAAACTGAAAGAAAACAACTCACATATTGCCTTGTCACCGCTCGATATTGCCGGTAGCGACATGCCGCCATGAAGAAGAAGCAGAAATATGCGCAGACGGCCATTTTGTCTCCCTGAAAAAGAAAAATAATATAATCACTGAAAGATACGTTTCGCCTTCTTATGGCTAGAACCATGAAAACAGACCTAAAACCTCACTCTTGGCTGACAAAAGTTGAGAAAATAGACGTTATTGCATTATGTACACGCCCCTGGTATCAAGGTGGAGTAATGGATAGCAGTTCGGATTGAGGTATCGGAGAGCCGGGTTCGAATTCCGGTCGGATCCATTACATTAACTTACGTGTTAATACTCTTGGTAAAGATGTAAATCCTCTTCTTCTTTTGATGGGTAAATACAGATTGGGTTCTGTAGCTTTGGGTGGCAACCGGTTTAGGAGAAACTGACTCTGAATTCAAAACTCTATGTAGCCCTGGCGTAGCGAATACTATACAGCGAAAGAAAGGATCGTTAACATTGGTTCGATGATCCCGACTAAAGTTGAATGATGATGATGGTATCAGCAACTGTTATCGAATATACTTCGTACATAAGAAACACCCGGTTTCTATCTATCTATCTATCAAAGCCTGTACATTATCTGTCTATCTCTGTTCATTATCTATCTATCTATCTATCTATCTCTGTTCATTATCTATCTATCTATCTATCTATCTCGTTCTATTCAGAATCTATCTCTGTTCATTATCTATCTATCTATCTATCTATCTATCGTTGCAAAGAAGTAAACTAACATTGCAAATGTTCCTGCTTGGTTCTCGTTTTTAATATAAAATGACTGCAACTTGACATTGGCGTTTCTTTTGGTGCCCATTTTTGGTGCGTTTTAGTTTGAAACCCCTGCATCGTTCATTCGCGAGTCAGACTTTGTTGAATGTCGACGTGTTGTCCACAAATGAATACCTTAAAGATGGAAGATGAAAAATTGCACTTTCAATGTATTTCCTGCTGTAGGTTGCCGTTTCTTTCTGCGGGAGACTGATTGCCCATTAAGGCTATATGACCCAGTCCGTCCTGCTATTTAACCCATAGCTAGGGGGAAGAGGGGAATTCATACTTTTCCAAAGTGTATTTGTGCGTAAATAAATGTAAAAGTAAAATTCGAACATTGCTCTCCAATCCTATGATACGTATATATTTTCGAAACTTTTTAGACTGTCCTGAAATATATATATATATAAACACAGCACAGAGAGGCAACCTTGTGACGGTGGACATGTGACTGAAGCCGATACGCCAGATGAGGACGAATATTATTGCTAATTCTTTGGATTTTATCAAAGAACTCAAGGTAAATAGCAACGGCACCGGACCATATGTGGCAGCAATATTCTAAGCATGGAAGAATTGTAGACTTATAGATATGTAAGATAGATTCTGGAGAGAAAAATTGTCTCGCACGATATAGTGAACCAAATTTTTTAACAGCTGACCTAGTAATGGACACGATATATTATGTAGGTTGTATAATATAATTAAACAACACCAGAAGGTTATTAAAGTCAACAATAATACCAGATCATTGCAAAGGTTAGAGCCTGGTTTTTGTTTTTAATATAAAATAACTGCAACTTTTGACACTGGCGGTTCGTTTTGGCTTAAAACCTTGCATCGTTCAGTTGCGAGTCAGACTTTGTTGAATGTTGACGGTTTGTCCACAAATGAACGCCTTAAAGATGGAAGATGAAAAGTTGCACTTTCGACGTATTATGCTCTATGGATTTAGGAAATACGACAAAAAAATTTCAGAACATTCATTTGAGTCAGGCTCACGTAGCGAATACTATACAGCGAAAGAAAGGATCGTTAACAATGACCTTATGATTCCGACTAAAGTCGAATGATGATGATGATGGTATCAACAGCTTCGTACATAAGACACACCCGGTTTTTTTCTATCTATCTATCTATCTATCTATCTATCTATCTATCTATCTATCTATCTATGTCTATTCAGAATCTATCTATCTATCTATCTATCTATCTATCTATCTATCTGTCGCAGCCTTTTTATTATCTATTTATCTATCTCTCCTCAGCCTTTTCTATCTATCTATCTATCTATCTATCTATCTATCTATCTATCTATCTATCTATCTATCTATCTATGTACCTCCATCAGGTCACGTAAAAAAGCAGCATATCACAATGAAAAAAGGTTCATAAATCAACGGAAACAAAGTTTTGTCTCAATATGTTTATGTTGTTATGAAGAGGAAAGACCAAAGTATTTTTTGATTATTTTTTGAAATTTTTTACTCCTTTCAAGCACGTAGAAAATTTTGGTTAATTTTTTTTTTTTACGATAGCCCAGAGAAAAAAAAAAGGTTTGTTTTATTTTGCGCTTTTCCCCGAGGAAAACACACTTTAATTTAGGAAATTCTTGCAAAAATCAAATAATTGACGAATGTTAATGAAACTTTCAGGACTTATTTAGAATTGAATGAAATTATGTTTTAATTTTTTTTTAGAATATCTTGTTAAAAAGAGATTTTTTTTTCATGTGTTCATATTTTCATGAAATTTCGAGTAATTAAATCTTTACGCACGGGATTTGTTTTATTACTTATAAACGGGACTCTTTATAGAAAGTAAATCACCAGTTTTTTTTTGTAAACCAGTTACCGGTTTCATAGAAAATCTGCTCTGAATTATAAAAAAAAATGTAAAAAGTATGACATTAATTAATTAGAAAAGCTTTCACCCGTTTTTGTAAATACCTTATATTAAGGACATTATTTTGTGAAGAAATAAAAATTTTTCGATGAATAATGTATTTTTTAAAAATTTTTTTTCCATTTTTTAAATATTTTTCGTTAACTTCTTAATACTTCAAAAATCGGCTGTCCATTTGGTAGAATCGCAGAGAGATATAATTTACCTTGAGCTTCTGACAACTGGAGAGAAAAAAAATAAAGACATTTTACGACCAATTCACGAGTGCGGCTATTCAAGTAAAAACCGCCGATTTTGGCAAATCGAAAAGTTGTCATTTCTCACCACAACAACACAAGACCGCATGTTGAAAAAAAAAAAAAATCTCGGAGAAAGTTAAAAACTGGAAATGGTAAAGCCACAAGCACCTACCATAGTCTCCTCACTTGATTACCATTTGTTCCGGTCCCTATAGAACAATTTAAATGACAAATAATTTAACTCTTATAAAGTCAATCGAAAACTACCTCACAAGATTCTTCCAACAAGAAACGCGAAGTTTCTACGAAAATGGCATCACCAAGCACGTAGAACAATGGTAGACAGTTGATGAAAACAAAGGAAACTATGTACTTTACTAATAAACGTTTTTTTATCAGTATGTAACATTTTGTATTAATTTTTAATCGGGCACGAATTATCTATCTATCTATCTATCTATCTATCTATCGTAGTGGCTTCATATCTATCGTATCCTTTTCACATTTACATATCTAGCTTTTACAGAGACTGTTAGTTCAATTTATCTATCTATATTAATCTCTTCTAATCTATCTATGCTAATCTCTTCTTATATACCTATCTATCTATGCTAATCTATTATCTACACATCTATCTATGCTAATCTCTTATCTACACATCTATCTATGCTAATCTCTTATCTATCTAAACTAATCTCTTATCTCTTCTTATCTATCTATGCTAATCTCATCTATCTATCTGCTATTCTCATCTATCTATGCTAATCTATTCTTATCTATCTACGCTAATCTCTTATTAGATATCTTTCAATCTATGCCAATCTCTTCTTATCTATCTATCTATCTATCTATGCTAATCTATTCTTATCTATCTACGCTAATCACTTATTAGCTATCTATCAATGCTAATCTCTTATTAGCTATCTATCAATCTATGCGAATCTCTTCTTATCTATTTATCTATGTTAATCTCATCTATCTATCTATGCTAATCTCATCTATCTATCTATCTATGTTAATCTCATCTATCTATCTATGCTAATCTCATCTATCTATCTATCTATCTATGCTAATCTATTCTTATCTATTCTTATTTATCTACGCTAATCTCTTATTAGCTCTCTATTAATGCTAATCTCTTCTTATCTATTTATCTATCTATGTTAATCTCATCTATCTATCTATCTATGCTAATGTCTTCTTATCTATCTATCTATCTATGTTAATCTCATCTATCTATCTATCTATGCTAATGTCTTCTTATCTATCTATCTATCTATCTATCTATCTATCTATATGTATATATCAGTAATACCTCCATAAGGTCTTCACAACTGAAGGGAGAACTGATCTGAAAAATGTCTTCCATTGTCTTGAGCACAAGATTCGTCGTCCATCTAGAAATAAAAATAAAATGGTTGGATTGGTCACGTGACTGATGAAAAATGTTTCCAAAGTGAAGAAAGAAGCAAATGCAAATTAAATTGTTGAGTTGAAATGTGGAAAGAAAAAGTAAAGGATAAGGACAGTATGAGAAAGAAGAAGAAAAAAAGGAATACGAGGAAGGAGAAAGGAAGAATAGCGGGAAGGGGTGATGAGAAATAAGGAATGAGGAGAAGGAGAAGGAGAGAGTAGAAAAAGAAAGAGTAAGGCGTGGAGAGAAAAGAAATGAGAGAAAAAGAAAGAGTGATCAGAAAAAGAAAGAGGAAGGTGTGAGGAGAAAAGAAAAGAGAGAAAGAGAGAGAGTAAAAAAGAAAGAGTAAGGAGTGGAGAGAAATGAAATGAGAGAAAAGAAAAGAGTGATCAGAAAAAGAAAAGAGGAAGGTGAGGAGAAAAGAAAAGAGAGAAAGAGAGAGAGTAGAAAAAGGAAGAGTAAGGCGTGGAGAGAAATGAAATGAGAGAAAAAGAAAGAGTGATCAGAAAAAGAAAGAGGAAGGTGTGAGGAGAAAAGAAAAGAGAGAAAGAGAGAGAGAGTAAAAAAGAAAGAGTAAGGCGTGGAGAGAAATGAAATGAGAGAAAAAGAAAGAGTGATCAGAAAAAGAAAGAGGAAGGTGTGAGGAGAAAAGAAAAGAGAGAAAGAGAGAGAGTAAAAAAGAAAGAGTAAGGCGTGGAGAGAAATGAAAAAGAGAGAAAAAGAAAGAGTGATCAGAAAAAGAAAAGAGGAAGGTGTGAGGAGAAAAGAAAAGAGAGAAAAAGAGAGAGAGTAAAAAAAGAAAGTAAGGCGTGGAGAGAAAATGAAATGAGAGAAAAAAGAAAGAGGATCAGAAAAAAAAAAAGGAAGGTGGAGGAGAAAAGAAAAGAGAGAAAGAGAGAGAGTAAAAAAGAAAGAGTAAGGCGTGGAGAGAAATGAAATGAGAGAAAAAGAAAGAGTGATCAGAAAAAGAAAGAGGAAGGTGTGAGGAGAAAAGAAAAGAGAGAAAGAGAGAGAGTAAAAAAAAAGAGTAAGGCGGAGGAGAAATGAAATGAGAGAAAAGAAAGAGTGATCAGAAAAGAAAGAGGAAGGTGTGAGGAGAAAAGAAAAGAGAGAAAGAGAGAGAGTAAAAAAGAAAGAGTAAGGCGTGGAGAGAAATGAAATGAGAGAAAAAGAAAGAGTGATCAGAAAAAGAAAGAGAAAGGTGTGAGGAGAAAAGAAAAGAGAGAAAAAGAGAGAGTACAAAAAGAAAGAGTAAGGCGTGGAGAGAAATGAAATGAGAGAAAAAGAAAGAGTGATCAGAAAAAGAAAGAGGAAGGTGTGAGAAGAAAAGAAAAGAGAGAAAGAGAGAGAGTAGAAAAAGAAAGAGTAAGGCGTGGAGAGAAAAGAAATGAGAGAAAAAGAAAAAGTGATCAGAAAAAGAAAGAGGAAGGTGTGAGGAGAAAAGAAAAGAGAGAAAGAGAGAGAGTAAAAAAAGAAAGAGTAAGGCGTGGAGAGAAATGAAATGAGATAAAAAGAAAACGAGAAGAGAAAAAGAAAGAGTAAACCGCGAAGAGAAGAGAAAACAGAGAAAAGGGAGAGAAATTAGAAAAAGAAGGCGAAAGAGAACTTTGAAAAAGAAAGAGAAAAAGAAAGAGAAAAAGATTGAGGAAAAGAAGAAAGAAGAAAAAACGTAATGGAGAATATGAAGAAACGAGGCAGAAGCAAAGACAGAGAAAAACAAATAGACAAATAATGATGCAGATAAGAAGAAGAAACAGGAAGATAATGAAAGAAGAAGAAGAAGAAGAAGAATTAGATAAGGGTTGGAGATATCAAAAAAGAGTGAGAGAAGAAGAAGAAGAAGAAGAAGAAGAAGAAGAAGAAGAAGAAATATTAGATAAAGTTTGGAGATATCAAAAAAAGAGGAGAGAAGAAGAAGAAGAAGAAGAAGAAGAAGAAGAAGAAGAAGAAGAAGAAATATTAGATAAAGTTTGGAGATATCAAAAAAGAGTGAGAGAAGAAGAAGAAGAAGAAGAAGAAGAAGAAGAAGAAGAAGAAATATTAGATAAAGTTTGGAGATATCAAAAAAGAGTGAGAGAAGAAGAAGAAGAAGAAGAAGAAGAAGAAGAAGAAGAAGAAGAAGAAGAAAAGAATTAGATAAAGTTTGGAGATATCAAAAAGAGGAGAGAAGAAGAAGAAGAAGAAGAAGAAGAAGAAGAAGAAGAAGAAATATTAGATAAAGTTTGGAGATATCAAAAAAGAGTGAGAGAAGAAGAAGAAGAAGAAGAAGAAAAAGAAGAAGAAGAAGAAGAAAAAGAAGAAGAAGAAGAAGAAGAAGAAGAAGAAGAAGAAGCTAGGCTAAAAGAGAGAAAAACTAATATATGAAGAAATGAAGAAAGAAATGCAAGAGATAAAATTCAACGAAAAAGAAGAAAAAGAGAAAGCAAGAAAAAGAGATTGAAGAATAAAATGCAAAACAGTAAAGAAAGAAAAAAATCATGGGAAAAAGAAGAGAGAAAAAGTCGAACAAAGAAGAAAGAGACAAAAGTATCGGGAGGAGGAGAAAAAAATAGAAAAGGTCAGAAAGGAAAAAGAATTAAAGTTTGATAAACAAAATTAGTGTTAGTTTCATGCCTGCAATCCCACCTGTCATTGATGAGGATTTCAAGAGTAAATATTTCCGGAACAAAAGCGTTCAGGAGAGCACAAAGGACGTGGCTATCGGTCAGGTCAGAAAGAGTCTGAAAAAAAAAATGGTGCGACAGTTATTATAAATGGCGGGAAAATAAAAACTATTGGAAAAAATAAAATCGGCGGGAAAAATAAAAAAACGGCGCGAAAAATAAAAAAAAAATGAATGGAAAAGAACGAAAAAAAATCAGTGGCGTTTCAATTTTTATATTTATTATAGAAAAGAGAGTTTGCAGAATTTGATACCTACCGGACATATTAAAGGTATGAGGGACAAATGGAAACAGCGAGTAGTAAATGGATGGCAGTGCAGCGACTGAGAATGACAATGAGGCAATAATCACAGAAATTTTGGCTTTCATAAGTACTGGCCGCTCTGTAAAAGTCTGTTAAATGAAAGCCTTCTATAACTTCTCTATTCACTGAAATTGATGATTTAACACTTTCTGTTGATAAAGCAAAATGTTTTGCTCCTAAATTCTCTCCCACTGCTATTATTCACTCATTTGGAGCCTATTTGTCTAACTTTTCACTTAGAACTGAGTCTCTATTTTGTAATACGCCTATAACTCGGTCTATGGCTTCTATCATCTCTAAACTGGATCCTCACAAATCCTGTGGACTGATGGTATCCCTGTAATAGTCCTTAAGAGATGTGCTCCTGAACTGGCTCCTGTTCTCTCTAAACCCTAGAATAAATATCTTACTGGTTCTTGCTTTTCTGCTTGTTGGCAAGCCTCTTCTTTAGTTCCGTTTTTTGTCTGACTATTTCTAACAATGGCCTTATTAGCCTTCTACCACTTTTGGTACGAGAGGAGGCTCTAATCAATTCTGAATTGGTTTTCACAGTGTTTCTTTTCAGATAAGCAATATGGCTTTCACTTCTCTAGGTCTACTGCTGATGTGTTAACGGTTATTGCTGAAAGAGTCTATAAAGCTTTAGACAAGTATGGGGAACCTCGGGCTGTTGCTTTGGGTATCTCGAAAGCGTTGGACATACCTGCCTTCTGAACAAGTTGAAAAGATATGGTGTTTCTGGATGAATTTTTGATCTCATTCAGTTTTTCTTATCAAATAGCGAAATGAATGTTGTCTTGAATGGCCAATCTTCTAGATCTTTTTGCATTAACGCAAGTATCACCTCACGGCTCAATCATTGGATCAATCCTTGGTTACAAATTTTCATCAACAACCTTTCTGTTATCTGTCTATATTTCTGAGATGAGGTATTGCAATTATTTACACTACTTGCATTGTTCGGAACTCACATAATCCAACCAAATACACACACACACACACACACACACACACACACACACACACACACACACACACACACACACACATATATATATATTGATGCATTGTTTCATTAAATAATATAGACAAGTTTTGTCTATTTATTTTATGTAAGTTCCTTTCATATCGTCTGATAAGCTTAATAACATTATCATTGAAGGACGAAAGGAAATCACCATATTGATACATGTTTAAATCCAATCTAAGCTTTTGGCTTACATAAGCCATTATCAAAGATGACAATTACTTTTCAATATATCAACCAATACACGGACCAATAATGATAGTCTGTTTTTGTTGCATGAAAAATTTCAAAGCAACGACTAACTCGTGTATACGAGACGAGGAAGCGAAAATCGCGTTGCAGCTCGTGACGTCACACATGACCACGCGAGAGTGAAAACGAAAAGTATTAAGTATGGGAAGCCATTGGTATAAACCAATGGCTTCTGTCATCAATTATAGGCATTTAAGAATTTTTGTGGAGATTTCATAGTTTATTTTGTTCAGGTGACTTTTCAACTGTTTTATGTATAAAGCTTCAAGAATTTTTAGTTTTTGTTTATTGTTTTCATGTTAAAGTATAATTGTTTTCAACAAGTAATTTCCAGAGTTGTGTACGCGGCCAGGCATGTTGTTTTATATATATATATATATAT